AAGGTTAAAGAAGATGAAGAATTAAAGAATTGGGTAGAATAATCTTGGGTGAATGCTAGCTTAAATTATAAAGTTATTTTTTAAGTAACTTCATTTGAAAGATCCATCTCTTGACTTGTAGATTATAGGACCATACATATCATTCATATAATTAACGAGTCTTTAAATCAATAGCAATAGACTATGAACTTCATTACATAAAATTGATATATAAAGTCTTTGTTAAGAATTAGTTAGTCCAAGGTCTCATAAGATTTGAAAAAACTCAACACTTGAACTATAAATACTAGGAACAAGTGTCACAATCATATCAGTTAAATTGGTCTTTAAAAATTAGAGTTTAAGGCTTTGAATTTAATTGCTTATTTCTAAAGCCTTTGTTACCATGAGTTGGTTTAAGACTCTAAGACCTAATGCATTTGATAAAAACCATTATTAATGGTCCATAGACTCTTAGTAATAGGACTTGAACTTAGTTAAACCACTCATCAAAGTCCTAGGTGCTAGAAAGATTGCTATCACATAAGAAGCAATTTTCAGCACAGAAGATTTCCTGACCAGATTATACAAAAACTGCTATAACTATTTTTATAGTTGGATTTTTTGAGTGAGGGCAGTGGCATTGCAAAGTTGACTTTGAGCTGTTCAATTTGAACTCAAATTTGACCTAATTTGGATTTTAATTGACTAAGATATGACCATTTGAAGTTGACACAAATTTTGTTGAGTCTGCTGAGAAACAGCAAATCGGCCAACCGATTTGTTAAAGACAAAACACACCGGTCTACCGGTATCTCTATAAAATCAAGCATAATGCTTTTTTAAGTGCTGAAACAAACTGGCCAACCGATTAAACATATCAGCTGACCGATAAGACTAAACTGACCGAAATATCCATTGGTCAACCAAAAATGTCTAGAATTTGAATGAATGACTAGTTTGATCGTTTGACTTCATAGGAACTTACCATAATACCCCTAAACGGCTATAACTTTTAAAAGGGTATAAATATACAATGTTTGGACATTATAGGTATCCAAGAGAGCCAAAGAGAGACCTCCCTTTTGGGATAGAACTTGTTTATCATTCTTGGATAGAAATCTTTTATAGGAATCACCATTGAAGCCTACATTGCATATCATTCATGTGATTCATCTTGCAAACTTAGAGTTGTGCTTTCATTTGTAACTCTAAGTATTAGAGCTTTGGTTTATATTTGGTTATTTAAGAGACATTCATTATAAACTTCAATCCCATATCTATTCTTGAGAGAAGAAGATAAAGAGGTGCTCTTGGCAAGGGAAAACTTGTTTAAGTTATTCTTTCTCAACCAGTAAAAGAGAGAAGGTTTCACTTAACCGTATAATAAGAAGATTTGTTAGAGTTCTCCACTCGTGAGAGTGAGCAATGGTTTCTTTTTAGCCATCAAAAGAAGGAGAAGTGAGATGGCTTCATGATAAGGTTCGTTCTTCACCAGCAAGCAAAACATATAAATGTTTGTTTTCCACCCACAAGGGAAGCCATAGTGGAATCCTTGAGAGGTTTTATCAAGGCATAGACGTAGACTAATGTTGTGCCAAACCATGTATATTGCGGTGTTGTTAGGGTTGCAAATTTCTCTAACCTTACTCTCTATAATTTCCTAGCACTTTCCATTTTATAATCTTAATGCTTTATTTATGAATGCTATTAGATTGCCATATTAATTTACATTTATGAGGAGGATGGGATGTATGCTTGGATTAAGTGGATTATATTGAGATAATTGCTTGAAGAAATCTTGCGTTAATGTATTTTTTCACTATCTAAATATTATTGCACACCAAATGTTTGATAGAATGTATATTCAATCTAACCTTCACATTTAGAGTTTATATGCTTGCCAAGTATTTGATATATTTCTTATAAACTCTATAATAAGGATTTTCATGACATTTGTACCTTGAACATTATTTACATCAATATTATACAAATGTTTGTCCTTATTGGTTAGTTGAATTGCATGCATTGGTGCTTGAAGTAATATGATTTGTTATTTGAAATCAGTGATGCTCATGCCTAATTATGTAACTTACATATGCACAATTCAAAGTATGAAATGAGATGGTCATTTGCTAAGGCAACATACCCAACAAATGTAGTAAGCTATTTGTTATACATTCTTAATGTTAAGAGAGTTTTACACTACAACCCACTAGAAAAGAACATTCATTAATTACAAAGATTCATCTTTTGCTCTAAGAGAAAGAAAGAGTTACTTTCCAACTTTTGTCTATAAGGGATATGGCTTATAGTGTGCTTATTGAAAGGGGTTAGTATGTAATCCTTGAAAGTCTAAGAGAATTTTTTCTTAGCAAGCTAAAGAGACAAGTATAAGAAGCCTAGAGAAGGTAAACCAAAAAAGTTCCATTGTTTACCAGTGACCATATTCAACCCCCATCCTTTAGGGTCAATTCTTGGATAACTATTACATTATTGCATTGAATAGCAGTCAGCAACGCAATTGGCTTATGTAGTTTTACTCATGGAGCACTCTCCTACCCCTGTCCTTCCTATAAATAGAATGCTTATGCATAGTTGATTTATTCAATTCAATATACAATTTCATTACTTCTAACACTTTTGATATCATTTTGTTTTATTTTGATACTCCTACAAAATATTGTTGGGAGAATTCAAAAAGACTGATTCAACTTAAATCTCTCACAATTAAATCAGCAAAAAATATCCTCCCTTTATGTGTAAATCTGTTAGGAAACAATTAAATAGAGCACAATAATCTAAAAAATATAATCAACATCACACACACAATTGACACAATCAATTTTAGCCTGGAAAAAACTCCCCAATGTGGGAAACAAAAAATCAAGGGACCGTAGTCACTAAATCTCCATTATCAACAAAATAATCAATCTCAAGAAATAATATTCTCTCGGCAACAAATATCTTATAATCAAAGATTAAGGAGAGATCTCACAAAAAAAACACAGAGGTACTGTTCACGGACCCAAAAACTGATCCAGAATGCTCGAAATCCAATCTCTACCGTTTAGAATGTAGAGCCTCGTATTACGAATCCATCCGCCAAATTTCAGCTCGATCGGACCACAAACGCCTGTTGATCTGAGCCCTTGATGAAATCTGGTCGCACTTTGAAAAACTAGTTCTATGGAATTTCTCTCTCTGTGTTTTATGCTACAGAAGATGCCGCCTCACTACTGTTTTCAATACACAAACAAACGTATATATATTTGTGTGTGTGTGTGTGCGCGGGCTTCAAACCCACATGGGCTTCACTTGGGCCATCTCCAATTAAGAGGGAACCAGCCTAACAAATATTAAATCTTAAGTTGCAATTAAGAATTTGAATCTCATTCTTTTCCGCAAAATAGAATAAATTATTATTACAACTAAAAATTGTTTCATCTTTTATATTCACTAGATTTGTACTACAATTACAAAAGTACTCTCCCGTCCCACATTTAATGTATGGTTTTGGATAAAAGGGGTGGAGGATGGAGTTAGATCCCCTGCCTCATTGCCACCTTAACAATCAACGCTTAACAGGATTCCAAATGAAGACAAACCAAGTCACAATCAATGACAAAAGGTTCTCAACGGTCGAGAAGTATATAACTCACACACCAACAAGTTTTCAATTATTCTTAAGGTGGGTCATTGTCGCCTGTGCTAACTAAGTCCCACTACATAGTCAATAAAAAGGAGCTCGAATTCTTTGTCGTTACAGTATCCTGATGTAAGATTTTTCAACACAATTAAATATATTTTCAACACATTAAATTTATTTTATATTTGAAAAATAAAATTAAAGAGCTTAGACTCTCTTATTTATTTGGCTTTGGTGCCTCAAAAAGTATCTGGTCTAAAGTTCGAGAGTGCAAACAATTCCTTGAGGTAGGTGTGTGAGTATCATCAATTAAGAAGAAAAAAAATACAAATTGCTTACCAATTTTAATGCTTGATAATTTTACAATTTTACTCTTGAATTGAATATTTATGTTCAGTTCAATTCAATTCGCATTTATAATTTATACATATAAATGTGAGAATACAATCATAAAAGTACCCAAAAGAACGTGTATATACACATACTTATATACAAACAAAATATATGCACAGTTATTACTAATGTACTCAGTAACAATATATCTAAGAGTGCATTTGAAATTACTTTTCAATCACTTAAAAGCACCACTATTTATTAAAAAAATTTGTCACAATTTGTTTGGTAATTCGAAAAAAAAAACCCTTAGGTAGTAGAAATTTTAGCAAATTATTACTTTTTAAAATTGTGAGTAAATGTTCAACATTTTAGGTAAATTATTTATGTGGGTGGACAATCTAATCCCTCTTTATTTTTATACCTACAATTGTATCTCTTTTACTAGAAGGATCTACAACAAATACTAAAATTCTGAAATCAAATATAAATTAATAATTATTAAGTATGTTTAAATCATCTTTATTCTTGTGTTAAATTCAAATACTAACCTAACCAAAAAAAAGATAAAAAAAATACAAATAGCATATCATAAAAAAATGGAATAACAAAAAGAATCAAAACAACTTGATCCTCATGCAATTATTTAAGCCAATAAAGTGTCACAATTATTAATATTTATGTAATGCACATGTTTATTTGTGTATGAATATTATTGTAATATTTCTACCAAACAAATTAAAAGTACTTTAAATATAAAAAGTGCTTTATAAAATGAATAATCAGAAGTTTATTTATTTATTTTTTTACTGATAATAGCTCTTTTAAAGAAAATTAAAATTTTTACCTTTGCTTATAACTTAGTGAAATAAAAGATAAAAGGTTAAAGGCTCTATATTGCGAGAATTATTACTGCAACAATAAGTTTGTTATACTGTGTGACCTTTGTTTTGGGTTGAAAATTAAAATCAGTTTATCCATGCCGGGGTATATCTTATCTTTCAAGATCCCGGAATGGTGGAAGCCGCCGCTAGGCCTTTTTTGGCCAAAAAAAAAATAAAAAATAAAAATCAATAAAAATAAACTAATAAAAAAAAGGAGTTAAATTTCTTTTTACTTTCCCTCGCTTATCCAAACGCATCGTTAACCGGTCCCCACCACCTCTTTCACAAACCCGCAAACCTTTCTGTTTCCTCTCGCCGGTCTCGCTGGACAGAAGCGTGTCTTTCGTCTAACGTCGTAACAGAGAACAGATTTATACACATACCTATACATATATATATATATCTCTCTTCTTTGGCGTGCGCATGCGGCTTTCAGCGTTCTCATCTTAGATCTCTTTCCTCTTTTCTTTCTCTCTCTACATTTGTGTTTGATTCGAATGAGAGGTTGCGGGGGTTTGGTTTGCAGACGAAGAAGAAGACCATCATCGGTGCCGATGGCCATTTCTTCCTCTTTCAATCTGTTCTCAATCATCACCGCATTAGGCATTTTTATCATCTTCTGCAGTAGTTTATCAATTGTCGCAGCCGATTATATTTCGCACGAAAACCCTCCTGCCCCAAAATCTTCTCCATCTTGCAAGCACGAGTCTCGATTGGTAATGTCAATACTCTCTCTCTCTTCTCAATCAAATTCTACATTCTTTGTTTCCCCAATAATTATTGAATAAGGTCGAATAATTTTGACTGCAATCCTTTATATATATAAATATATATGTGATATATGTATTTTGTTAGTTTGTATATAAGCATATATCTATATCTATATTTATGGAATAATTTGGGAAATGTTAAAGTTCATGAATGGAAGTTATAGATAAAATTTAATGCCATAAATTAATGTATTACATGTGATTATTGAATTAAAAAGGCCATTGTTTGCCGCTTGGGTGTGCCAGAGTCTGTGTGGACTCGGAGTGAGTGTTTTGAATTTTATCCCTATAGGACCTAAGGAAGTGTTGTAGTAGTTAAGTGACTGTTGGGAAGTGGGGAACTATCCTTGCTATGAGGCTGCTAATATATTGAGAAAGACGACTTTAGTTGAGACTAAAAGGTATGGGGAGTTGCCTCTAGAAGCGAATAAATGATTAGTGCAAAGCAGATAAATTGGGTCTGACAAAAATGAAATCACATTAGGCAATGATTCCATGGATGAAGTGATTGGAATGGTAACTCCATTTATTGAGAACATATAAAGTACATTATTGTGGGTGTTACACTGGTGTGTTACCAGGGGTGACATTCCTCTCTTCGCATTTTCCACACAAGAAAAGACTAAAAAGCTAATTTCATTCATTTCTTGATAGTACATTGAATTCATTGTTGGGTATCAAGTGTATGTAGAACATATAGAAATGTGTGCAGGGAACATTGTGACTGTTGTTACACTGAGCTACTCACCGAGTTAAGGACTTACAACTATTGGCTAAATTTTTGTAGGCTAGTCTCAGCTGAGCTAAACTAAGGATAAGATAAAAGAGACACTATAGGAATGTGAGTCATTATAATCTATCGAGGTTTTCATTTTATAGTTGTTTTGGAACAGTTATTTCTGTGGTAACTAGATCACATCCTTATCTTTGGTGCAGTGTCCGTTGTCAGCTACTCTGTACACTTGATCCAAGTTCCTGCTTTGGATGTGTGTATAGTGGGGTCAATGCCTGTCTCCACCTTACTTGATCATGTTCGTCTATAGTTGGCACATACTTGGGACACTTGCTCCACATTCCACATGTTTAGGATTGTTGATAATTGGCTGGTAACCAGCTTTAGTTTTCGTGGTAGTTTGGATGAAGCCTTTGTTTTGTTTTGTTTTTTTTTTTTACCAAATTGAGACATATAGTACAGGTTTCAGGCTAATTCTATCACCCGAGAGAATATTGTGGGATGGTTAGTGCTTGCCACGTGCCCTTTTACGATGATCCTACGTGCTGACTTTAATATTATGGGGCAGGTGGAAACAACCATGCATGGTATGATGAAATATATATATATATATATATATATATATATATATATATAATTATAAAAGCTCTAATAATTTGGTAATACTGTTTTTCTTCTTCTTATTATTTTTTAAACTGGCGTGGTGAATACATTTTCTGGAGTTTCGTTGCTATCTGTAGTGCATTATGGAAACACTTGTTTAAATAGGAATCTAAGACATTTTTTCCTCGACCATTGCAAATACTTGGCTTGTTATGGACTTACTTTATAATTTTTAACAAATCTCAAACTTCTTATCTGGGGACTTCCACATTCTAAGGCAGAGATTGAACAAAAACTTTTGGTTGAAAACAAAGAGGAGAGACTTGTACAATCAAGAATGCACGTCACATTTTAAGCCTATATGGTGCTTTTTACATATTTGAATAATAGAATTTGCACGATCTCACAAACAGTGAAAGCAATGATCCTCAACTAAGAATTGTAATGTAGGACGAGTGCGATAGGTTTTTTGGGGTTGATTATTGTTGGTTTATTAAAGGTAAAATTTAGTGGAGATATTGGGTCTTAGGTTTTGTAAAATGTGCAAGGAAGGGTTAAGGAATTGATTAGACAAGGAAGACAGTTTCTTTGCTGTTGGTTTGTATCTTTTAGGCAACTATGTTGAGTGTTCAAGATTTAAGTGATAAAGATTTGTCAAATAGGTATTCGAAAGGTAAAACGAAGATTATTGGATTTGGCTTGGGCTTTCAAAGGCATAAAAGCGCATAAGTTTTAAAAGAAGAAAATTAGAATTAGACGTTGAAGTTAGGAATCACTCATAGAATCCCGTAGGCATCATATCTAGTGTAAGAATTTTATTATACAACTATAAATAGACCGACCTTATGGTTCTCATAATTTCAATATAATAAAGATTGCAGATCCTATTGAATGAGTGATCACTGATAGCAGATTTAAAAAATTAAGAGAGCTGTAATAGTAGTATTATACTAATGAACTGATTAATAACAAGCAAAGAGCCAATGACACATCATGCCTTGAAACACAAGTATACAACTTATGGACAATACTATAACTAATGCATATAAACTAAGAAAATTACTAAAATACCCTTTTCCAAAGGTTACCAAGAACTTTTATTACCAATTCAACTCAACAAAGCTTTTTTCCAACTACTTGGGGCGGTTACATGAATTCTATTTTTCCATTTCACTCTATCTCAAGCTATAGTCTCTGTTAAACCACATGTATCATATTCTTCCTTACTAAATGTATCCCCTTCCATTAGTATTATCCTCAATGTATACTATGGCACTTCTCCTTACTCGTACAATTAAAGGTCTTCTTTACACATGTAGGGATTTGTTAAAGGATTTATATATTTAAGTTGCATCTTGTATAATAACTTAAGCTTTTAGAGTAGATGGTTGTTAATATGGTATCAGAGCAGGTTTATCATACCCTACTCTATACACTACTTGTCTCAGATATTTGTATCAACTCGTCTTGGATCTCCGAATAAACTCGTCTTGAATCTTTGGATCAACTTGTCTCGTCTCGGATCAACTTGTCTTGGATCTCCGGATCAACTCATCTCAGATTTACTCGTCTCAGACTCTCTACACTTCATATTTAATTTCAAGTTGGACACTTGAGTTCTCCGTATGCTAACTTGGGGGGGGGGGGGGGGGGTGGTGGGGGACAAAATGTTAACATTGCTATACTTGGGCAACAAGTTGTTGCCATATTTGTATTTGACTTTATGTATAATTCCTTTATTATAAAATACTTGTAAAGTAAGAAGTTTCTATTCTCTAGCTACAAGTCTTCCCCGATTCACCTATAAATAGAGGTGTTTATTTTAAACAAAATCAAGAGAGAATGTAATGAAAGAGATTTAGCCCTTTAAGCGTTGTGTGTCGTTGCCCTAGTGGTTGAACCCCGTTGTATTCTTGTGTTCTTCATGTTTTTATTTCTCTCTTCAACTTTTATATCTTTCAATATGGAAAGTTTAAGCTATTAGAGAGGGTGTAACTTAAATAAAATCAGTAGAATTGGTGGTAGAATCATAGAATTAGTAGAATCGTAGGTAGAATTGGTAAATCAGTAGTTATTTTTTTTTTTTTATATGCATGGTTGATTGTAACTTATCAGTGAATATAGGGGAAGGTTTTTCTGGGCTGCTTGTTTTGTTTCTAACTTTATGTTCATGAATTCTTGGTTTAATTTTCTTTAATTTTGATCTAGTAAATTGTTACTTGGTATTAGACTATTTACTATTAGTTTAGTTTTAATATAAACGTAATGAAAATTTGTTCATTCATTCCTTTAATAGAATGCATATATTTTCGATAGACAAAAACAGAGGTGCTTATCACCCAATTTTTATATAAATAATGTTAGTTATTTTTTAATAATTATTATTTTGTTTGGATTTACTCCCTCTGTCCCAAAATAAGTGTCATGCTTTCCTTTTTTGTCTGTCCCAACATAATTGTCTACTATCCTTTCTCAAACAATATATTTCACATCTTTCCATATATGTCCTTTGAGTTTTAAATTTCAAATTTGAATACTCAAAATTTAAAAGGACAATTTAGTAACTTTCCAGGGAGACAATGCATGTCCCACATGTCCCCTTAAAAATTACTACTCCCCAAAAATGACACTTAAATTGGGACGGCGGGAGTACTTTTTAACGAACCTTGGTCGATTCCTCTTGGACCTACAACCTAGCATCTATTTAAAGTTAGTACTAAGTCTTGCAATTTTAATTGAATTGATGTTGATTGAATTGATATTGCATAGTTGTCATGAGAGCTCTAGTTTTTGAGCTACATTCTTAGATATATGTATGGATTTATCCCAAGATGTATGTAACTATATTTGGAATTGTAATTTTATACATTTTTATTTTTGTGTTTTTATTTTTATTTTTTGATAGGTATACATTTTTGTGTTTTGAGCTTATTCTTGTTATATTTTAGAAATATTATTGTTTAAGAAGTTAGTTCGAATTAATTTTCTACTAGTTTGGTAGAATCTTACGATTCTCGATTTGATTCTACGATTCTAATTCTATGGAGCCCCAACATTCCTACGTAGAATCCCGATCTTGACACTCTTGTTATAAATGGGGCGGGTGGCTTTCCATGTCCGTGCCCCACACTGCGTGGGCTTTCACTATAAATCCCATCCCCCCCCAAAAGCATTAAATGAGCCTCCAAAGCTATTTAAATGGGGTGGGTGGCCAACGGGGTAGGCTATTTCGCCATCTCTATGCACATGTACAAACAAGATTAATTGATTTTCTCTCATTTGATCTTCAGTTGGTGCTACTTTGACCATCTCACGGATGTGCTCATCAAATTTTACACATTAACAATCAACCATGTGAGAAAGGTTTACAACCTTGGTATTAAATCTAAAGTCAACTAGTTACCTCTACTCCAGACTCATGCACAATGTTCTCCTTCGAACACTGCTATTTTATATCAATTAACTTGTTCTCAACAATGTTTGCTCTCTTTGGTTGTTCGTCCATTCCTTTTTCTTTAATAATACATGGTTGGTTCTTGTTAGAGAATCTCCAGTTGAATTCCTTGTTTCGATTCACTCAATCATATGCAAAGAATGTGTCAAGAATGGTTATCTATGCCAAACCCTAGATTGATTATCAAGGCTATAAGCTTTCTTTTAATATTTTTTTAAAATGCTCATACTCCAGGCTGACTACTATAACCATGTATGTAGCCAACAAAGGAGTCCTAAGCAAAACAGGAAACTTGTACAATTATTTTTTTCTAAATTCTTGTGAGAATAAAAGTTTCTTTGCCGACAATCCATCAGTCAAGCTTTAGATTTTAATCAACACTTTCCAAAAGCCTTTGATCGATGAAGTTGATTAATTGAGCTTTGATTGTTCCTAAATTCCAGCTTTAGTTTGGTCGGTACATGCTTTGTTAAAACTATATATATATGAAATTTTGTTTTTTTTTGTTTTTGTTTTTTAAACATGTGATTAGGTTGATGAATTTCTACATATGATCTTTGATTTTTCTCTGTCTTCATTGTCTTCAGTTGTAGCTATATAGACTCAGATATTTTGTACCACTTTTGTATAGGGATTTGCCAATGCATGACTCAAATCCTAACAAAAGTATGTCAATAAGTAAATGTCGGTGCTCAATTGTTTCATATCAGAAATATTCGTAAAACAAGATCTAGTCTTGTTGGCAGGAAGCCTTGCTCTTTGGATGAAGTGAAAAAAATAACATTTGATTGTGATTTTATGTATAATAAGTCAAACCCAACACAAAACAAATTAATATGCTTTTGTATTGTGTTTAAATTTTCAGTGGTCTAAATATTATTATATTACTATTATTTTTGGTGTCTAAGGATGTGTTGCTTAATTTTTTTTTTTCAGGTAAAGGTTGTGCAATGGGTTAATGGCGTTAAAGATGAAACATTAAGTGGGCTAAGTGCAAGTTTTGGTGCTGAAATGCCCACAAGTACTAAAGAAGCCCAGAGATTGCCTGCCGTTTTCCCAAATCCGTTAACTTGCTGTTCCAGTTCTTCCTCAAAGGTTTGGTTCCATTTTCCTTGATGGACCTTGTCTCATGTACTTATTATGCAATCTTGGAAAATTGCATAATTTGAAGTGAAAGTTTGATTGTTTTATCTTGTGGGAGGGAAGAATTTAATAATAACTTTTGCATTATTTGGTTCACATACACTAAAAATGATATTTTCTGGTAAGCTAAATAATTAAAAGCATAGTGCTCCGGTAAATGGGCGCTTTTATTTTTTGGGGAACATTGGAATTTTTCTGGATATATTTGGAAATGATTATTAAGCAATATGGTTCCTGTAAAAGCTTCGTGTTAAATTGTTTCATAGTGAAATTTTCAGGCTTATTATGATTGTCCATTGTATTGTTTTCAGTTGTCCAGCTCTGTTGTTTTGTCCCCGCGTGGTGATTGTGACTTCACAACTAAGGCTGAAGTTGCACAATCAGGAGGTGCAGCTGGCCTGTTGGTGATAAATGACGAAGAAGGTAAGTATTTGATGTACTGAAACACAATTTTCATTTACCATTGGATGGTGTATTGTATAGGAACTGATGGTAACTATCAATCCTTTTTTTGTTTCATTTATTATATCTTTAAACTGCTTTTGTTCCCCCTTTTCTTTTGCCTCTTGCAGATCTTTTTGAGATGGGTTGTTCTAACAATGATACCACCATAAACATTACAATTCCTGTTGTGATGATCTCAAAATCGGAAGGAGAGGCTATAAACAGATCTATGGCAGGTGGAGGAAGAGGTGAGCCCTTCCATTGTAAAAGTTTTCTCAAACTTCTGCTTGCAGCTATGCAATCTGCAAAAAGCTTTTGTGTTCATAGGTAGCATGATAGAATCTATAGAAGGTGATTTATAGATAGAATAAAGAAGAAAAGAGGATTGTTGGTGCTGTATTTTGCTCTTGCAGTCATATTTTTTGGTTTGCCTTTTCCACTAAATTAGGGATTCCGAATGGCAGAAATTTGGCATTTTTTGTTGAGTTGTTTCTCTAGTGATGTAAAAAATAGTGTTTTCATTCATTGTTTTCCTCCACTGAATATCTTTCAGGGTTTATAAAATCATTTTGTATAATAGTTGGGAGAGAGAGAATTCCTGATTATGTACAATAATACACTATCCATTCCGTCTAATCTCCAATCCAAATGCACCAATTGTAAGACCATATATATTTATATATATCTCAATACTAAGAATATTTGAATAAATGGTGTGGCCACTTAAGCAGGCATGTTGCGTTAGCTTCTGAATGCTTTGGAAAATGAGCAATGACACCACAATTCCTGGATTGTGGTAAAAAATAGACAAGGATTCTCAGATTTCAAATCACAAGATCTGTAAACAAGTTTATCAGGAAGATTAACATGTAAAGGGATGGAGTTGGTTAACACTGATTGGAGGAAGGTAAATATAGCATGCCTACAAGAAACTAAGTGAGTAGGAGAGAAAGGGAATTAAAATGCAAGTTATAAAGTTCATTACACCGGAAAAGATACAAATAGAAATTGAGTAAAGATATTCGTTAAGAAGAAATTTGTTTAAAATTGTTAGGTTAATAGGATTTAGGTTGGCAAATTTCGTAGACCAAAACAAAAATTTGTAACTATTGTTTTAATTTCTAGTTTAGATTAGCAATTTTAATAGTTATCAAGTGTTAGTTGTTACCTCTTGCTCATGGTTGCAGAAAGAATTTTGATGCAACACATGATGGTAATGGCATAATCTTCTACACTAAGGGTAAAAAGGTAATTTAGCACTTGGATGCACTAATCAAATTACGGTTTCTAGAGTTTCTTGTTTTGATCTGATTTGATTCCTAAATCTTATATATATATATCTAAAAGTGTTTTTGGAAATTTCCTGTTCTGAATTTTTGTAAGTCTCAAATTGGAGTAGACTTCTATTGATCGAGCTATCAGTTGGTCCATTGGGGTTGAGTTGATTGACCATCTACTCCAAAAGCTTAAGCTGTTAGAGAGGGTAACTTTAATATTTAAATCCTTCAACATGACCCCTCGCTTGTGGCCTTCTTTTGGTCCAACACGTGTTTACAATTTTAATTTTTAAGGTGATAGTGAGGTTTGAACTCGAGACCTTTGGCTCTGATATCACGTTAACTACAATCTACTCCAAAAGATTAAGTTGTTATAGAGGGTGTAACTTTAATATTTAAATCCTTCGATTCGATCAATTGAGCAATGAGGAATTGCAGTTTTTTTTTTTTTTTTTCTTTTTTTTTTCAATTAAAACACTACAAACCTTGCTCTCTATGTAACTCTATTTTGCCTCTATATAATATACTTGGGCAGAATAAAATATACTTAGAATACAACATATAGGGCATAATTGTGAGTTCTAGATTACGTCATAATTTTATTTTTAACAATGTTGAAATCCATCACTGCAGCTGAAGAGTTCAACAATGTCACCAATCGGTTAATTAGAGATTGACTTGGGCAACTAGTGGTTGAGTGATGCAGTCAATTGTCTCTGAAAAGTGTCAAGTCAGAATTAATGTAGTCAATAGTGTCTAGTCAAAGTTTATTAAGTAGTAACTATTGTATGGGAATCTAAAGATGTCATGGGAATTGTAGAAGCTGTTATTAATTATATGTGGGTATCTTAAAAGTCATTCTAGAGAAGTGAAGTGTCATTAATAGTTTTATTATAAAAGGGACAACCCTCACTATCCGCTATAACCAAGTCTTTATCTATATACTTTTGAAATTTTATCAAAATTATAACTTCTGTTCACGCTTTTTCGGTTTTTCCTTTAGAAATCTTGGCTCCAACGGTGATTGGAGTAACTTCTTACTACTGTAGAATACTTCTCTTTTATTTTATTTTATTTTTTAGTTTCTATTTGCTTCAAGAAAATTGAAGAATCAAATGCCAAGTATAAGGAGTATGCATACAAGAAAAGGCGTAGTCAGAACTTTAAAGAAGGTGAAACAGTGATGGTTTACTTAAGAAAGGAGCGATTTCCATCCAGAAAGAAGAAGATTGGGCCTTACTGAATCGTCAAGAAGATCGGGGAAAATGCATATAAAATTGATTTACCTCGGTGCTTGGGTATTGATCCTACATTCAATGTTTCAGATCTGTATCCATACCTTGATGGCAGTAAAGACGGGGTTGTTGGACAAAACTCAGCTCAACGATGAGTTTATTCCAAGGAGGAAGGATTGATGTGGTCAATTGTGTCTTAAAAAGTGTATAGTCAGAATCAATGCAATCAATATTGTCTAGTCAGAGTTTATTGAGTGATAATTATGGTATAGGAATTTGAAATGTCATTGGAATAGAAGCTATTATTAATGCTTTGTGGGTAGCTTAATAGTCAGTCTAGAGAAGTGAAATTTCATTTATAATTTTATTATAAAAGGGACAGCCCTCTTTATCTTCTGCAACCAAATCTTTATCAATATACTTTTGAGATAATTTCAGATTTAAACTTCTCTTCAGGCTTTTCCAGATTTCCCTTTAGAAATTTAGGCTCCAACGGTGATTGAAGTAATCCTAGTGTTTCTTACTGTAAGAAGGCTTATTTTTATTATCTTGGACTATTATATTTCTAAAAATAAATGTTAAATTTTGGGGTGCACACATGAGCTTTGCACATTATCTGAATTTTTTGTGTGATGTTCTTGTCTTCTTCATTACTTGCGTTTATTTTTGAATGGTTTTGATATGAATAACAATATACTCTTCAATGCAGTGGAACTTCTGATATATTCGCCAAATCGTCCAATTGTGGACTTCTCAGTGTTATTCTTATGGCTGATGGCCGTTGGAACAATAGTATGTGCTTCACTTTGGGCGGGGTTTTCTGTATGTGAGGAGAAGGATGAGCGATATAATGAACTATCACCAAAGGTCTCAAATATATTACTCTCCCTTTTTGTCTTGATTTCGCAATATGTTTAGTTTCATTGCATGTTATATGGATATGTCTAGTCGTAAGACCACAAAGTTTACTCAACTACAAATTTTCCTTCCAGAAATTGCACTATCTTTAGTTTCATTGCGAGACTCTTTCACGGATGGTTATTGACTTATTGTTCAGTATGAGAGAGATAGAAAGAGAGAGATCTTTGTTGGTTCCTCTACTCAGAACTAGAAACTGAATTAAAAAATTATCTTTACCATTACCACCCTTAACACTCTCCAACCCACCATGAAGATATTTATCATGTCCAAATGATGGACTACAGAGATTTTTCATTCAACATGGTAAAATGTAGCTCTGAAAAAGAATGCCATATTCACAATTTCACATCTATAGTAATAATATCACCTCGGTTCAAGATTTAATATAGGTTCAATTTTCTCTTACAATGTTGCAGTCAACCTATGTATTTTTGGTTCTCTCATGGAACGCTAGATAAAGAGCATTATATTAGCTTGACGGGTAATGATCTCTCTCACGGGTGAGCATGAAAATTATCCAGACCAAGCATACCGGTGAGCAAGAGATCATTACCATTAGCTTGACTAAAAACAAAATATATTTGCAGGTTTGGTATAAATCCCATCTCATGCTAGAGTTACATGACCACAATGACCTCACATGCTTCATGTGTTCGTGGCTCTATTATTGTATCTTCTACACTTGATTTTGCCACTATGTTCTGCTGCTTCTTTTTCCATTATTCCATGTAATCTGGCGACTATCAATGTGTAATATCCAGAAACTAACCTCCTTTTAAATTGATATCCATTCATAGATGAACTCCAAGCTTTCACAGTAATTAGCAGTTGCAAGAAATCAAGGAAGAAGTCAGAGCTCCCAAATTCAACCTAACCTGCATCGAGAATGACCAACAACATTAAGAAGTTAGAATTCCTAAATCTTAAGTGTTTTTTAGGACTCATGCTGCTTATAGCCTAGCTTTTTTAACAATAAGTTTAACCAGAAATAGTTCACGAATCCCACAACCTTATATATATATATATATATATATGCTTTGTAGAGGATGAACTAACAAAACATATTCAGAAATGATTTTGTGTGTTGCATGCTATTTGTTGATTATATTGTTGTAACTGTAAAACTAGGATAAGTGCTAAATGGAAGGAGAGAAACTCGAGCATAGGGAGAGTTAAGGGATGTAGGACTAGATCTTAATATATGGATTGTACTTTTAGCAACACTAGAAAAAAAGTGAGGATGTAGTGAATATCAAAGTTCTAAGAGTTATTAAGAAGTGAACATTTTCATTACTTAGCCTTGATTATTCAAAAAGTGAGAGAAATGGAAGATGATATTAATCATAAAATCAAATCAAGGTGGGTTAAATGGATGAGCACCTTTGGTATATTATGCGATTGGTGCGTACCTCTAAACTGAAACCTAAATTTTATAAACCATGGTGTGTACTTCTAAAGTTAAAAGGTAAATTCTATAAACAATTAATGTACCTAATATATTTAATGCAACAAAATGTTAGGCTACTAATAGACAAAATAATCATAAAACGAGTGAATGGAATGCAAATATTGATTTGGAGGTGTGGCAAGGCAAGACAAGTAATGTAAGATTAGTATAGTAATAAAAGAAGAAGTTTTGGGTTTTGGCGTACTCAAACCGAGAGCCAAGAGCTATATTTATATACAAGAATAGGGTACGAAGAAGGGAAACCAAATCAAAGAAAAATAGGAAATATGCCAAAATTTTCGTGATCCTATGATTATGGGGATATCATCTACGTGATTCCATGATTATGGGGATCTTATCAACATGATCCCATGATAATAGGGATTTTACATAAAACACCTAATAAATAATAATAATAATAATAATAATACAGATGTTTTAACACTCCCGATCAAACTCGAGTGAAGATATCAATCAAATCCAGCTTGGTAATTGAGGAATGAAGCAAAGATGGACCAACGGATTTGGTGAACACATCTGCCGACTGATTAGAGGACTGAACAAAGCACGGCTTGATAATCCCCGAACGAACCTTCTCTCTGATAAAATGAATGTCCCACCTCTATATGTTTAGTCCTCTGATGAAGAACAGAATCTGAAGCAAGCATGATGGCTAACTTATTATCACAAAACAAGTTTGAGGACTATTTTTCACGTCGCCCTAGTTCCTCCAAGAAAGATCGAAGCCAGAGAATCTAACAAGTACCCTGGCCATGGCACGATACTCAGCCTCTGCTGAAGATCTCAAAACTACAGGTTGCTTCTTACTTTTCCAGGATATAAGATGATCTCCATAGAAAGAATAGAAGCCAGATGTGGAATGTTTGTCAGTCTTGGACCCAGCATAGTTTGCATCACTGAAACAGGATAACCCAACGTGCCTGCTAGAAGAATAGAATAATCCAAGTCCAGGACAGGACTTAAAGATATTGAAGAATATGATATACCGCATCCATATGAGCTGTACGAGGAGCATGTAAAACTGACTCAACACTAAAAGCAAAAGCCAAATCAGGACGGGTGTTAGTAAGATAAATCAATCTTCCTACCAAGTACTAATACTGCGAGGGATTAGAAAGGAGATCTCCAGACTCAGCCGAGATCTTCATGTTAGGATCCACATGAGTGGAAGCAGGTTTACACCCAAGCATACCCGTGTCTCGAAGAAGATTCAAGTTATACTTCCTTTGCGATAAAGAGATACCCTGCTTAAATCTAGCAACCTCAATTCTCAAGAAATATCTGAGCTGCCCAAAGACTTTCACGTCAAAAGCTTTAGCCAATTGAAGCTTTACTTGAGCAATCCCAGGGATGTCATTGCTAGTAATGATGATATCATCAACATAGACAAGAAGAATGATACATCTACCAGTGGAGGAACGGTGGATAAAATATGTATGGTTAGAATGGCATCTAACAAACTCCATGGATAGAATTACATCACTGAAGCGGCTGAATCAAGCTCTTAGAGATTGTTTTAACTTATACAAAGATTTTTGCAATTGACAGACCTTTCCAGCATACTCCCCCTCAGCCCGAAAGCTGGGTGGAGGATCCATATAAATAGTCTCAAGAAGATCACTGTTAAGGAAATCATTCTTTACATCAAGCTGATGAAGAGGCCAATTGTGAGAGGCAGCCAGGGAGACAAGCAAACGAACTACGGTCAATTTAGCCAGTGGAGCGAAAGTATCATTAAAGTCTTTACCAAGAGGTGGAATAGAAGATCCTTTGAAGGAGAGGAATCTTCCATCAGTGTTCTGAAATCTTCTGTTATTAGCTCTCTTTGTTTTGGGGGTTCGCGCAGACTCTACTCTTCTGTTGAGGAGACTATTGAGTTTTTGGCTTCCTTGGGCCTAAGGGTATCCAGGTTTTTGTGGTTTTGTTAGGGACGTGTTCCCCTTTTGAATGCTTTTTTAATGAATTGCTTATGTATCAAAAAAAAAAAAAAAAAAAAGGTCTTTACCAGCAATCTAAGTAAACCCTTTGGCCACCAAACGGGCCTTAGCCACTGGCCGGATATTTAACACTGAATACCCATTTGCAATTAACATTCTTTTCACCAGGAGGGAGATATACAAGCTCCCATGTTTCATTTTGCTGCAGAGCACCCATTTCTACCATCATAGCATACATCCAATTGGGATTCCGGAGAGCCTCAGAGACATTTCTGGGAATGGAAATGGAATCAAGTTTGCCTAGAAAGGCTTGATAAGACCCTGAAAGACCATCATAAGAGATATACTGCGAAATAGGATGATTAGTACTACAAGCGAATCCAAATCGAACAGGGGGTTTGCAGTCTCGAGTGGGATACCGAGACTCGGGAACACGGTCAGGGAAATGTAAAGGAGAGAGAGGAGATGTACTTGAACATGTATCTGAGGAGGATGAAGGCAGTGGAAGCGAAGCACGAGGGCGACGAGAATAGATCTGCAAAGGGGGTGAGGAAACCACAAGAGAAGACTTTTCTTGAAAAATAGGAAGAGGACAAGCAAGAGGAGAAACCTCTTGATCGGGAGTAGAAGTTTCCTGCAAGATAGTGTTAGAACCATAAAAAGGGGTATGCTCATGAAAGGTGACATCAAGAGAGTGATACATGTGTTTGTGTATAGGATCATAACACTGGTAACCTTTTGACATTGAAGAGTATCCTAAAAAGATACATTTAATGGCCTTGTCATCAAGTTTAGTACGAGAAGGGCTACAATTCTGAACAAAACATATACATCCAAACACCCGAGGCATGATGGAAAAAAGAGTAATATCAGGCTGAAGCACTAATAAGGGGGCCTTACCATTTAATACTCTACTAGGGGTACGGTTAATGAGAAAAGTAGTTGTAAGAACCGCCATGTGCCAGTATGACTTTGGCACATTCATACCACTTAAAAGACATCGAACATCTGACATTAGTTGGCGGTTTTTACGCTTTGCCACACCATTCTGTTAAGGGGTATATGGATAAGTAAGTTGATGAAGAATACTCTGTTGGTTAAGTTGAGACCGAAACTCATTGGAAACATATTCACAACTATTGTCAGACCTAATATTCTTAACTACAGTTTTATATTGAGTTTTGATCATTTGGAGATATTGAGTGAACAAGGGAAAAATTTCAAATTTCTTTTTAAGTAAATATACCCATGTGCAGCGGGAATAATCATCAATGAATGTGACATAATAACGGTGCCCCGAAAAAGCAGTAACAGGAGAAGGACCCCACACATCAGAATATATGAGATCAAACATACTAGGTACATGATGCATATGAGAAATATAACTAGTTCTAGTATGTTTAGAAAGCTCATAAATCTCACATTGAAACTTATTATTCTTACAAGCCGTTATTAATGAAGGGAAGCATGCCATAAATTTAAAGGCTGAAAAGAAAAATCATAGGATCTAGTAACTGGAAGAACAAATGCTTGAAGGTTTG